AAATTAAATTATATAAAACAAAAAAAACAAAAATAAAATAAAATACAATGAAATAAAACAAAAAATAAAATGAAATAACATCAAATAAAACAAAATAAAATAAAGCAAAACTAAAATTAAGTAAAAGAAAAAAATTAAATAAAAAAATGTATTAAAATAAAATAAAATAAAAAATTAAGAAAACATCTTGAAAAATACCAATGACCAGGTATTTGAAGTAGACTTGCCAAAATCACATAAATAAAATTTGAAATCGTTGAAATTTGCAGATTTGAATTGCAAGTGTAAGGAAGAAAAAAGGAATCCCTAAATGAAAATTGTACTACGAAGAACTCCTCAAACCGAAAAATGTTAAAAGCACAGAATTACAGTCAGCGTCAAAAATATGCATATTCTGATGCTTTCATGATTTTGTTCATGTCTATTTACCATTTTTTTATAAATTTTTTTTTATAAAAATATAGTTCATTCAACAGCAAAACCCATAAGAATGAATTTAAAAAAAAGAAATGCCCGGAAATTTTCATCGAAACTATCGATTTTTCAATTCAATTTCAGCTGTAGCTTCGGCCACTGCGTCAAACTAGTCCCCGGCGACCAAACAGGTGCAGCATAGTTCAAAACCGGCCGGCCAATTTGCCTTGTGTGTTTCCAACAACAACTTTTTCCTAGCTTACAATTTTGAAATTTATTTATTTTTTTAAATTCTAACTCAAATTGTGTCAGTTTTAGTCTATGCGCAAAATTTGAGCGAAATTGGAAACCATCGCTTATATTTAATTTAGAATAGCTGCGTATAGCAAATTAAAACTCACAGGCTGCCGTTTTTGAAAAGTTGTCAAAAGTAATAAAGGAAGTAATAAATTTTCATTCTTTCAAGGTTGGATTTACTGGGCTAAGTTTCTATATGAAATTCATAAACCATTCCTATAAGGTCTTAAGCAAAAAAATTTAAATTTCGAGAACAATCAAAGTGGATATAACATAACGGCCGTTTAAAGTGTAAAAAATTCCATTATTTACGTTAAATCATCAGTTCACTGCCACTTAAGCGGCTAAAAAGAAAAAAACGTGTCCACACAAATACAAACTTTCTGTAGCAACATCAACTAGGTTACATCCAAGCATAGTTACACAAACGCATTGCCCGAATTAGCGAGCACTTCCTTGTGCGTTTGTGTGCACTACTGGCTGTGAATTCAGACAAATAGTACCACCGGCTGTTTTGCTGCCATCGTCGACGCTGTTCAAATAAGCAATCAGGCTAACTGACAGCAAGATAAAAATCTGGAAGTGAATAAAAAGTGTGCGGAAGCATACAAACACAAATGTATGCCTCGCGCAAACTCTAAGCCGAAAACCGGTAGCTAACGTGGTGATAACTAAATAAAGCTTGTAAACATAGAAAAAATGAAATATTACTACGGAATAAATACACGTAAATGCAATACTGGTAAGGCTAAGCTTACAACGACAAACGCAAAAAACGTAAATCGTAAATTTTTTTGAAATTCAAAACAGAAAAACCGTTGGACTACACAAATAACTAAGCATTCAATACATACATACATATTTTCGCTTGACAATTGTCCGCGTTTCGTCGGTTATATAAAGCGAATTTCGTGTAAAATTGTGGGTGCGTGTGCGCGCGTGCAAAGTGAATTTAGCCATATTTTTGTGTGCTAAGCTGGCTTGGACTACGCTGCTTCGATACCTACATATATTCTTTTAGAAAGCATATCGCTCGCCACTACAAATTGTCGCAGGCAATTAACCCGTTACTACTGTGATTTCACTGCATATGATAGTGCGCTGCTTTATTATTTTTTCAACTGTACCAACCTGACATTATTTATTGTCGCCATTTTTGCTGAAAAGAATAATTCAATTCAGAAAACTCGCATCAAGATGATTGCCTTACTGACGCTCTTCTTCTATATGACAAGTAAGTACGACATTTTTTTTACAGTAAATGTTTGTTGTTATATATGCTCACTAGTTATTTATTATATTTTAAAGACAATAATAGATATTTTAGTAGTATAAAAATCATTGTAAGTCCGTGAAAATCTTCTTGTTTTGTTGTAACTTTTAAAATTTGGTAATGGAATTCAAGGCAGCGCATAGATACATACATATATGTATGCCTAATAGTCAAGTATTTAAAGTTCTTTAACGCTAGAAAGACGGCCAATATTTTTTTGCCAGTTATTTTTCTAAATTGGTATCCCGTAACATTTACTAAAAATACATAATAATTAATTTAAAGGCATTCCTATTTTATTGATGTGTTTCAAACTTAAATAAATAGTACAACTACCTAAAAAAGGCGGATAGATGGATCATAGGGTGACTATTGCCAAACATTAATGTAAAAATTGTTTGTTACTACAATAAGTAAATAAAAACGAAAATTTAATTTTAAAGTTATTTTAAAATGAATAAACAGTTTTCAATTTCAAATTATAAGTTTATTATTATTAAAATTAGTTTTAAACAAGTAAAGAAGTAAACGTTCGGACGAAACCGATCTTTATATACCCGACGCAGGTATCAAAAACCGTCGTTATAACTTTATCTAAACTGCCTTTGCATGATAAACAGGGGTGTTTTCGCCGATTTCATACGGTTTCGATAATATGCTGAATTAGAGTCATTGAACCAAGTTTGTTAGAAATGGATAAAGTGATTACCGAGATAGAACTTTGCAGTCATAAAGCGGGCGGTGCCACGCCCAATTCTTTAAAGTCGATAGCAGTCATATTTATAGATAAGAATTGGTTTTAAGTATTAACTTGGAGTAAATTAATATACTCAGCTATTGAAATATTGGACTTTTCGTATTTCTGAAATTTACCGTTATACAGGGAGCGGGTGCAATTTTAGTCCGATTTTAATTTTAATAATAACGAATTGCTTTTCAGTACCATGATTATTAAGCGCACCGAGTCTGGTAGAAATTGATAAATCGGTTACCGAGATACACATTTGTGGTCGTAAGGGGACGTCGCCACACCCATTATCCACAAATTTATAATAATCTAATTTTTTGGGCAGTCGGCGTAGTCACAGTGCGAGATCGCCCATTTTTAATCAACTTCACAAAAAGGGGAAGGTTATCAATTCGTCGGAATATTTTTTTTTTAATGCATGTTACCGCATAATTTTGGAGCACATTAACCGATTTCGATAATCTTTTTTCATCGGAAAGGTGGTACCCTAAGGGTGGTCCCATACTTATTTTGTTTAGATCCGATAATTGAGTCGTGAGGAAATTAACGATAATCTTAAATTTTTATATGTGAATTAAAGTCGGTTTTGTTTTTTGCTTAAAACTTTCTTGTCAATACCAACCAACCTTGGACAAAGGGCAACCCACATACTAAATTTCATTGAGATATATGAATTTGTGCTCTAATTATCGTGTACACGGACGGACGGGCGGACGGACAGACAGACATGGCTTAATTGATTTCTTTTTTCATTCTGATCATTTATGTATACATTTGTCTATAACTATCTCGATTCCTTTAGGCTGTTACAAACAACCGTTATGCGAACAAAGTTTTAATACCTTTGTGCACAAGTGCGCTCGAGTATAAAGAGTTTGGTCAAATGTCCCCTGTCCGACTTTTAAGGTATATGGATTTTTTAGAAAGGGTGAACCGAAAAAGTGCGATACTAATTGGCAATGCAATGAGGTTTGGTCGTAATCGTTGTTCGGGCTATGCAGTTCCAGTTGCACAGCTATACTCAATCCCAACTCTTGCGTGCCGTTCGGGTGCTCTGGACGACGTGAGCAACCCATGTACGAGATGCGGTATCCAATCCGATCTTAGCCTTGGATCACGGCAGAAATAGAGGGAGCATCTGTGGGGCCACTCCGTAAAATTCGGTTTAAGGGCTCACTGAAGTAGGCAGCGTCTGTTCACCACTCGGTGCAACCTTCTATGAGCGCCTGGAGCTTCGAAAACGAGCGCTGCCCCGACCATGATATTAAAATCGTGCTTGGCGACTTCATTGCCAGGTTGGGCAAGGAAGGGATCTTTGGAGCCATCGTCGGAATATTCTGCCTCCACGACGCAACGTCCGGAACGACTTCGCCGGGTCCCGAAATATGGTAGTATGTAGTACTAGGTTCAGGAATATCGAAAAACGAGAAAACAATTCTAACATACGCACACTATTGAATGGCAGCACCACTAAAAGTAGTGGACAAGACGAGCCCGAGCTTCCGTTGATGAATCGATGTTCCACCATCTGACTATGCAGAAGTACGAATAAGTAGCTTTAGCGCTCTTGAAGTTTGCTTTGCATAATCCACAAGAAAGTGCCACCGCAATTCACGCCATCTACCGCGGGATCAGCCTTCTAAGCATACATATATTGCGAGGTCTTATCGAGCGTAGACCAGGTATTCACAATACACCAAATTTTGGAACGGACCTGCGAAAAAAGGATCACCATCTATTTGTCGACCTCAAAGCTGCTTTCGACAGCACTAAAAAGAGTTGCTTATACGCCGCGATGCCTGAATTTGGCATTCCCTCGAAACTAATACGGCTGTGTAAAATGACGTTGAACAATACCACCAGCTCCGTCAGCATTGGGAAAGACCTCTCCGAGCCGTTCGCCACCAAACGGGGCTTCAGACAGGGCGGCTCTCTTTCATGTGATTTCTTTAATCTGATGTCGGAGACGATAATAAGAGCTGCAGAACTGAACCGCTCAGGAACAATGTAATACAAGAGCATGCAATTCCTGGCGTATGCCGATGGCATCGACATTATCGGTAACAAAAACCGCGAAGTCTGTTCTGCCTTTACTAAGTTCGATAAGGAAGCAAAGCACGCCCAAATAAGAAGAAAAAGAATTTTACCGTTAAGGCAACACAAAAACTAATCAAAGCTGCATTTACAAAACTCTTGAGAAAAAGGTAGAACTACTATTACAGATGCGCAAACTAAAAATAATAATTGTGACATTTTGTGGCAAAGCATCCTGAAATTTAAGTATGACTATATGTATACAACGCTTACATATTCTATAGTACTTAGATAACGTATTAATAACATAACAAGGAAAATAGCTCAGGAAAAAGTGGTGACATGCGTAAAACGAAGAAACAGTCGCAAAATAAAATATAATAGGGGTATTCTCCAAATCTTGCAAAGCCATTGCACGTAGCACGGATTGCACGGATTGCATAAATTGCAAACACACAACAAGAAAATTCATGGGAAACAACATTTCCTATCGCTGCAAAATATGCAACGTCGAAACCCATGTATATATTTTACAAAATAGCATAGCAAGATAATAGCGACCCTGTGCTGGTTGTTTTGTTGTTGGAATTGCTACATATTTCTCTCATTCCTCTCATCTAGCTCACTTAATTTTTTTTTGCTGTCTCTTGTTATTGTATTTGATACATAATTTCGCTGCTTGCTCCCCATGCATGCTACCTCTTTGCAATGGGGTGTTCTCGTACTCTTCGAAATTTGGAATAGTATTTTTGCATTTCGTGCAATCCGTGCATCGTGCAAGACTTCGAGAATACCCCTATTATATAACAAAACTGAAAAACTGTGAGCAGGCAAAATTAAATGAGGAAATTCGTGTGCGTTCCATTGTACAACTGTGAAGGTATAACTGTATATGGGGCGTTCCATACCAAAACGGACGGGGTTCACTCTTCATGTGCTTGATTGGTTTCAAATTTTTAGGGTTGATGCATAAACATAAATAATAATAAATATGAAATTTGAAGAAAATGCGCAAAACCGTTTTCAAAGAAAAAAATATAAAAAATAACGCCAGTTTTTTAATCGCTTAAAACTTGAACTTTGAATGAAAATTTAATGGGCTACAAAACTGTATACTCAAAAAAATTCTAAAAAAAATTGGAAAAATTTGTAAATTTGTAATGTACTCATTTTACTCAACTTCGGTGTAAAGAAAAAATGCAGAACTCAAATTATTGTAGAGTGCACCCCATAATACTTAAATATTGCGCAATACTCAGAGCTACCATTGTGATTTTTTCAGTTTTTTGAGATGACATATTTTGAAAAACTATTTCTTTTTTTTATCAAAAATGTGTATGTGAAAAATTTTTCAAGAAGAACAAATGTTTTAAATATTTCTTTTCATAGAGAATTTTAATCTGTGTATGTGTGATTTTTTTCCAATTTTTTTCTCGCTCCGTTCTCGAGATATTTGGAAAACTATAAGACCTATTTTTTTTGTTTTTGTGCTGTAAAGTTTTTAAAAATGTATTAATCGAGCTGAAATTTCATATTTATTTATTATTTATGTTTATGCAGCAACGCTAAAAATTTTAAACAAATCAAACACATGAAGTGTGAACCTCGTCCGTCTTGGTATGGAACACCCCATATAAATATGCACATATATAGATATTTGTGGCATTTTTGTTAACATTCATGTTGAAACAGGTGAATGGAAAAATTATGCATAAAAAAGAAGGAAAAAGAAGACAATAGACATAATCGAGCAACATAGCGTAAAAAGATAACCATGTCACCGTACTAGATGCAAGTAAATGAGCGAAAATGGGGAAAAAGTTAAAACTCGCACGAGCCCATTGAAAATCCTGTGTCTACAATTTCAGAGCATCTGGCAGCATGCTAGGGCCACCGATGATAAAACAGAGATATGATAAAAGTAAATGTTCATGTAAACGATTTTCTGTTAGAGTACGTGAATCTGCTATGTTATAGCAGGATCTTTAAGGAAAGAAATACGTTTGCAAATTTAAGTAAAAAAGAGATTTGCCTCCGAGTCAGTAATTTGGCCTAAATATTTTAGATTCCCCAGTTCTTTCGCAGCTTCGATTTATAGTTTCATTTTAGCGAACCACTTAACTGTGCCTGTTGATTCTCAAACGTAAATGTATTCATATAATCCCACTCGCAAACTTCT